GTGTTGCACATGTGTTCTTGAAACACCATTTGCACATCAAAGGCAAAAAGGATCGTGGAAAAAATTGTTTCTACTTTGTGCCATCAGAATATTATTATTTCCCATACGATATTTAGAAATGCAAAACAGCATAAGGTAGTGGAAAAGGATGTTGTAAAATAGGTAATGTAGTTTCCTAATGGAAATGCATCTGAATTCATGTTGGGAATGGCAAAAAAAAGAAAATCAGCTACTTAATTATTTTTTTGTGAAAGATACTCACATTTCTACCTTCAAACATATTGATAAAAATGTGGAAGCTGTTAGTAAAATTTTTCTTCTTTTCATTTAATTCAGGGAACAGACTTCTGATAGTATTACCAGTAACATTGTTGGGGGGGGGGGAATCTAAAACATTGTGAAAATGTAATGAAGACCAGGTGAGATGCTTTGAAATAAAACTGCTTTTGTAATTTAGGAGATTTTCACAAAACTAGGTTTGCTAGTTTCTGGCTGTGTCCTAACAGCGATGTTAATCCATGGTCATGGACTGGGACTTCGTGGCTGTAGGTGCTGGACCAACTTAGAAGAAAGGTGACAACTGATGAGCTGTTTTATTGTCTGCTGCCAGATCTTTCATCCAAACCCTACTTTGCCCATCAGTAAGACTGATTTACGTTGGGGTGTCCAAACACGTTTCTTACTGTGGCATGTATGCAGCCTTTATACAACTGTTGTAAGCTGCTAATTGACCTGAACAGCTCCTATTTTCCTATTAAGCTCTACCTACTTTACTCCCATCTTGCAAACTTGCCAAAGGCTTGAGACAAAGGTGTACCCTGTTCTGAAACTGTGCTTCTAAGTCATGGGAGGGGAGGCTGGAAAGCAGGTCCATCTCTAAGCATTGACCTTGGCTGAATGAGAGAAGTCGTCTTCTTCGGCAGTCCCTCGCAGCCAAGGATGATTGTCTTCCATGAATATGGGTCCAAAGATGGCTGACGTGACTGATATGGGATCGACAGGTCCTCTATTTGGGGTGGTCTTGATGCAGATGTAGAACCCTTCCGATCCCAGTATGTGGAGCATATAGCTGAAAATGATAAAACAGGTAGATAGGGCTGTTGTTGTTATATAGCTCAGTGTTGCAACTTCTTTTCCCACCCCGCTTTTTTTTTATGAACACAACTATGTCACCACATTGAAAACATATAAAGAACAATAAAGTGAAAAAGTATTTTGGGGTACAAGTTGTGATTACCTACATACAAGTTTCAATGACTTCTCTCAAAGTCACTGGCCATTAGATTTTGCTCAGAAGAGGGAAAGGACTATGTCTCACGCTACCTCTTGATTTTTGGATATACTTATATTCCACGTTACAATATAACTTGTCCTTCATAGTCCTCTTTTGTTAGGTAGTTGTAGCATGGCAATCAGGTGGCATACATGTCTACATACTTTGTTTTTAGCTAAGTGGATTGCTTTTCCACAGTGAATATATTCCATTCTATCCATTCTCCCTTGTTAGGTGGTGTTGCCCATTTCCATGCTTTGGTAATCCCATGGATGCAGCTGAGATGAGGTGGATGCACAGGGATCTGTAGTAATCTGTGATTGGAAGCTTGGAAAATATCCTGAGAAGGAAAAATTTGGGTGAAACACAGGACCTACAAGCCAGTTGCTGTGCAAATATTTTTCCTTACAGATATCTAGAAGCAGTGTATAACGGGGCAGTTCTACCACATATATATGAAGATGCCTTATGGCATTTAGCTCTTCCAACATAGCTCAGAGTTGGCTGTAGATGCTTCATAAAGTCCAGATGTAGTGAGATATGTTCAGCAGCATCATTTCATAGAAATTTGACCAGAGTCTCTCTTGTTGCCAAGGAGAAGGTGGTGGCATATGGGCACGGGTCCATTATTCTGATCTCTGCTTCTGAGTGCCTACGTCTGTCGGTGGTCATTCTTCTTTTCTCTGTTTTGAATGAAATGTTAATCATTAAAGGTGCCTGGCATCCATTCAAATGGGGTAAGTCGTATACACTAGTGGTTAAAAATGCTGGGCCAAGCTGGAGAAACAATTCCCGAGTCAGGTTGGGGAGGATTTTTTGTTTCCAGAACACCACGTTTTAGCAGCATTGCCTCCGGCACTGACAAGACCCCAGGCTTTCCATAATTGGAGAGCATCAGACAGTATTGTGCAACAGATGATTTGCTGCAGAATTGCCTGTTGACCGAAGGCTCCTGAACTGCCAAAGAAAACAAACAAACCAAGCCCGTTGTGCACCAGAAGAGTAGATTTAGGAAAAGAGATTATTGAGGATGATATTTATTTATAAAGACATTTCATGACTGTCGGAAGGACACGCATTAAGGCATTTAGTCTGGCTACAAAGCTGACCTAAATTGTACACCTAGTTCCAGAGTTAGGCAAATTATAGCATTGTTACGGGATTGTAGCTGGCTACGGGAATACAGGATGGAGAGTGGCATACTTCATCCTGCACACAGCACACACCTTTTTAAAATGTTTTTTATTTATTTACTTATTTATTTGGCTGCGTAACAGATGTAGATGCTTTTTTCTATCAACAGATAGGGAACCAATCAGTGGTTCGCAACCAGGTGCCTCCAGGTCTTTTGCAGGGTACCCTGAGCCATGAGAAAATAAATGAGGAGTTAGGAGATAAACATATACGTGCAGGCTCCAGCTTGTCTCTGCCTGGATGAGCCTCCATTCCCCATGCTCAGCCTCTCTTCCAGGAAATAAGCACAAAATACATTAATTAGTTTTTGAAATAGGGTACCACTGAATTCATGCAAGGTATGGAAGGGTGCCTTGAGTCCAAAAAAGTTGAGAACTTCTGGCAAAAACCATACAGCGCATATTTAAAGTGGCCATGGTCTCCTGTAGAGTTAGGAAGTCATACAGGACATCTGTACACATGTTTGCACCTCATGCCACATGTTTGTACATGTTTGCGGCACACGCATTTGTATAAAGGGCAAATTGCACGTTGGCGCTGAGCAAATGGTGCTGCACGCTTTTGAAGTAAAATGCATCGAAGGTGTTTTAGTTCACAAGGGCACCCCCTCTATTTTCTGCTCACGTTTTGCCACATACGCAACTGCACCCGACGCAATGCAGTACGTGCATGTCGGCTTGTGTGCAGAGAAGACTCGATTAATCAGGCTAGAGTGGAAGTGCTACAGGCTTACCGATCAATCGAGCATGCTCCAATGCACTGGCTCTCTGGGGCATCCCAGCATGAAAATGTAGGTGTATAAATGCCCGCAGAGGTATTGCAATGCTTGAGTTGAAGACTGCTCTGAACTTGTGTGGGAATCTTGACCAGTGTGTTTTTGCTGCCAACCTGCTCCGGCTTTCCGGTCACTGGGTGATGCTAGAAAGTTGTTGTCTTCTCCATCTTCTTCCTTAGACCACAAGTTAGGGGGTAGTGCTTTTGAAACGCCCCCAGAACTGTAAAACTGATAGCGGCGTTATCATTCAGCTGCAGCTTCTATGTCCTAAAACTCCTAGCTGATTTGCAATCCTGATAGTTGATTGCATATGCCATCTTTCCCACATCTCGGTACTCCTAGCTGGTGCATCCCCGGGGCCACACATCCTGTTGCCTCAGCCCCTTCCTGCAAGTTCATATGACACCAGGGCAGCACATTTAGGAGCCAGATTGACAGCTCTCAACATGAAGAGCTCTCAAATCGTGAGGCCACAAAGAAATTGTCCACAAACGTGGGTAAAAGGGTAGGGGGCAATCTGATAAGGCATCAGGATGTTTAAAAATCAAAACACGCAGGGCCAAATTCTGTCCGTGCATCTGCTCGAAAGTCTGGAGTAACTCGACTGAAGCGTAATTGAGACCAGAGTTCGGCCGTCGCTTGACGATCGAAGCTCACAACTCGCTGGTCACTTGGGAAAACATCTGGCCATCTTAGGCAGTCTCTGAAGGTCTGCTGACCTTTTAAACTGCTTCCTTATTGGAAGCAATAATGTTTTAAGTAGTCAAGGCATTCTTTGCCTGTAATTTAAAAATTGTGTGTTGGCCATTTCAATTACAGCAAAAAACCCAACCGCATGAGCCCGTGAGAAGGGCGACTGTCAGATGCTGCAATATGTTTGTAGCTACTGCACCACCGAAGAGGTGGGTATCGATTGTGTTTTGTTATTGAATTAGTTCTGGATGAACAAAATAACCAATCTCTTCTACTTTGTAAAATGAAATTAAGCCATATCAGATTGTTTTATAGTTCCTGTGACTCGCCGACCCTTGAGCCGTTTCCCGAGTAGCCTGGCGCAGAATTGTCATTTAAGGCAGGAGGCAAATCTCTGTGTGGATTCCCTATAACAAGTGCAGGACTTTGCTCAGGCTGGTCATTGCAAACTTGGGAAAATCAAGAGCTGGAAAATGTAACGGGCTGGGCTAAGCATTACTCCAGATCACGATGGGTTTTAATACCCTGGCGGTGTTCATTCTGGGGGTATGTTTCCTGTGCAAGGCATACGTGTATGTGTATTTATATGCTTACAGAAAGTACCTCTTGGTCACAAGAAGGCGTGACCAGTCCTGTTAAGCCTTTTAAGTGAATGAATGGAGAGTAATTAAAATCCACATAAAAAACCCCTTGCTTTTATATAAAATATAGTAATATATACAGGCCACTTAGCCAGCCCTTTGTTGCAAGTGGCATTGTTTATAATGAATAGCTAGCTATTTGAAGAGTTTATTTACTGAATAAATAAAACTCGAGGACGTATATTTAGCATACTGAGAGAGAGACAGAGCGAGGGTGTTCATGTGGGTACTGCTGTATTTCCCCGGTGATTCGACCTTTCCTGTGTACGAATCCTGCACTCTTCATTGAGGTAAAATCCCGTTGATCTGGGGAGTTGGGCTCAGGTAATGGAGTTCAGGGTTGGCGCGTGCGCCTGCATCAGCAACATTTATTTTCTTGGCTTCGGCACGTTCTTGGATGTCGAACTGAATGATTCATTCTTGATCTTTCATTCTTGATCTTTCAGGTGACCATTTGAAAGTATGTTCGCAAGGCTACACCTGCTGCTCTGAAGAAATGGAAGAGAAGTACAGCCAGCAGAGTAAACAGGACTTCAGAAATGCGGTTGTGGAGCTCAGCAATCACTTGCAAGCTATGTTTAACTCCCGATACAAAAAGTTTGATGGTAAGTGCTGGAGTCTTGCCTTTCCTCTCTGATGCAGACGCAGTGAAATCATCCCCCTATTTCCTTTTGTCGACAGACGACTTGCACTGTGTCTTTCTCTGTTTGCTGGGAAGGTTTGTGACTCTCGACTTGTGGCGGTGAGGTTAGAGCATTGCTTGTTTTGCAATCCAGCCTGATAGAAAGAATTGCTGATTATGGTTGTTGGTTTCCCCATAGGGGATACATCTTTCTATCTGATTAATCCACTCTGCCATAAATACACTGACTGCAGTTAACTTGGTTTCCGCAGAGCGTGTAGTTGTAGCGTGCTTGTCTTGCAGTGTTGATCTCCACGAATGCTTCCACTTTCCCAGCATGCCAGGAACTAGATGGATTTATTCCCCGTTGAACTTCAGCATTGCTTCAGCTTTGTTTAACTTCAGCATATGCAGCGCCCTTATTATATCAGGGGCCTGGGTTCAAGTGAGACATGTCTAGTCTCTGCCTAATTTCTGTCTCTGAAACTATTGCCAAAGTGGGCATGTCTTGGTGACTGATAAGTGGGAGATGTAATTTCTTCTTTCGTCCACCTGAAGTCTGCTGCAGTTTCCCTTCAGGTTGACTTTTCTAGGGGTAGATCCAGCTCCTAGGGAATAATAGAAAGACAACCCTCATGTACAGCGTACCACATGAAAGAGACACCTGAAAACTTGTACACCAGTGCCCTCTCATCCCCAGCCCCGTCTCACCCGGGCCAGTCAGTGTTACTTCCATTGCATGTTGCCATCCAGTAGTTATATTGATCAAATCATTTATGAAAAAAAGCCCAGCTGTCCTCAAGTGGGGGGGAATTTACTGCTTTTCAAGAGTTAATCCGTGGGTGAGTCTCCTGAATTGGGCTATGCAGGTGACTTCTGCTCTTGTAGCATCGTGCCAAGATCATTAGGACAAGGATTTCCTGGGAGAGCCTTGGGTTGGGAAGCTCCATTATAACTAGCTCTGTCTGAAACAGATGTGAGCTCATGTGTGCATCCCTCTACAAGCTCTGATACCCTCTGAGCATATAAGGGGAGGGAGCTGGCTCTCAGCTACTTACATACATCTTCTGTTGCCTGTTTTGGAAATATGAGGTGGGGCCCATTTCATGCAAAAAAATAATTTTGAAATCAGTTGGATGGATACAGAGCTCTGAGCTTTCACAGTGTCACATCCGGTTTTGTCCCACCTTTTATTTTTGTGGTCTCAGTTGCTGGCTCCATAGTACTGCAAAGTTCCTCTGAACTTTTTTTTGTTCAAGCAGTGGTGCAGCTTGCATGGATTTTTCTATGGATGCTGGCTGTAGCTTAAAAAGGGCATGATTTTGAAGGCCTGTAAGGAGGAGCCCATATGTTAAACTTCGTGTCTGGGAGTCTCTGTGCATGCATTTTAGTCCTTAAGGGCAGCGATAATGTGCCTTGTAGTTGTGTGACAGAGCTGTTTGTTATCATTTGGACAAGCATCTGCATGGGAAGGTTTGGATGGGAACAGTCCTGCCTTGAGTAAGGGACTGAACTAGGTGACCTCCCAAGGTCCCTGCCAGTCCTATTTTCCTATGAGCTTTCTTTCAAAATACACCAGAACTGGGGTAAATAAAGAAATTGCAGCTTGTCAGCAAGTTGAGGGGAAATTACACCTGCCCTAGC